AAGCTTGTCTGCACTTTTAAATGACAGTAGAACAGGGAAGTAGCCTACACTAAAATATCTCTCTATAAAAGCAAGAAATCTCTGTCTGTCTGTCTGTGTGTCTGTGTGTGTGTGTGTGTGCCTCAAATATCTCTGCAGATCAGGATCAGACTGACCTGAGAGTTTCAACATGGCTGCTGTGTGGTTTAAGGGTGTGCAACGTCGGCTTTGTTTGGACTACAAAGATACCGTCAATAAATTATTTATGAATTCTGCTAGCATTGTCAACCATAGCCACCATAGCCACGTGCTACCAGAGCCAATCACTGCAGAGCCCACCCCCACAACACACCTTAAGAGACATGCTGATCTATACCTGCAGTGGTGCGAGCAGCTTTATACCTGCAGCGGATTTTGCCAGCTGTTCGGTCCCGTTCTGTGCATCTAAACTGACTGTTGTGGATTACTGAGACTGAACGAGTCCGAACCGAGTCTGTTACGGTCTGTGGAGATCCGGATACGCAAGGACAACAAACTGGAATCGGAATCTGTGGATGTTCGTCTGTAGTTAGCTGCTACACCTCATTTGGCCATCCATGAAAAAGCTACTTAACCTCCCACTTTTCTATAGCAATACATACTTCCTACGGGCACTGCACTAGTGTTTCTAAAAACACTTTAGGTGATACATAGGCAATGCAGTATATTGATTGCTATTTGATCAGCACTGCCTAGTTTGACAGTTTGACCAGAGTAGTGTGTTACGCTGGATGGACTCACTGAGAATCACTTGTCAATCACAAGATAGACCCCATACCATAAAGAATTCCCCTGCTTTATTGTCTATTTTACTCTAAATGGGAGGTTAATTTCTTAAATGAAATTAGTGACTGAGACCATAAACTCATTAGGAAACTGTTTACTGAGGTAATGACTTAACTGAGAAGTATTGTCATTTTCTATTATATTACATGCAAGAGCTTTTTACTACCATCAGAGCTGTCCCCTGATGACCATTAGAATGAAGAGAAGGATGACGATCAATTCGGCAAAGTCATACTTACAAGTCCTCTAGAAGCATACATATTTATACACACTCAATGAAGACTTTGTGAGGTTCAGTATACAGTAAAAAGAGTTTTAGTTTAGTAATTTTGTTTTAGTTACTTCTCCTTAGTCCCAGGGTGGATAAACAGCATGTCATGGTTTTCTTTTTGCATCCTTTTTTGGTGCTTCACTAGGTCTTGACAAGCTCCTGAGCCATGCTAAGCTGACACAGGCACATTATAAGCAGACAGAAACCCAGCCCTGAAAGTCCTGCTGAGCTGAGCAATGGAGGATTTTTTAAAACTTTGGCTGACTGGTAGACATTTCACTTCTCAGATGTGATAGCTGCATTTGAAATGGGCCTATAGTACAAATACTTGTTGGGCTTGAATAATGTCATCATACACAAATACACAGAATGATACAAATTATTGAATAATGAATAGTTAACAGAATTTAAAGTGAAACTGTCTCTGTAATGTGGGACCAAACCAAATTCTGATAATTCGTTGAAAAATATAAGAAACAAAAGTGTCACTAAGCTATTTGAAGCGTTAAAAGGACCTAAATAATTGTTTATGCTAATCAGAGTTCGGAAGGACAGGATTTTATCCTGATTTTATATGATTTTTTGTGTTTTGAGTAAAGTAAATCTCCAGCATGAACATTACGAATGGGAGGCCAGGATTAAACAAGGAAATCCTGTACTTCCTCTCTTCTCCTCCCATCGTAGTCTACTTTTCTTCCAAAAGCGTATCATTGCCTCTTCCTTCTACCCTCTTCCTCTGTAACATCCTCTCATCTAGATCTTCATCTCTTTTCTTCAGTCTCTCTACCTCTGATCCATTATTTCTCCTTCATCTTTTAACTGCCTTCTAAATATACATGTTGTTTTTTCACTCAGTCCTTAAATCATAAAACTGTTAAAGAGGTGCGGTGTGAGAAGAGATACATGAACAGTTCGGCAAAATGTTAATAGTCCAGTGTGTAACATTTATGAGACTTGGCAGAAATGGAATATCATATTTATAGATATGTTTTCATTAGTGTATAACCACCACATGATGCATGAGGGCAATATAAGAAAATATGAATACATACTGCAAAGTTTCTCGTGGGCATGCTGCTGTGGCTTATATAGCATGCACACCATAGGAGGAGATACGGTGACGAAGAAGAGGATGCAGAGCTGGAGTAAAGCGAGACAGCGGAAAAGACGGTATAAACCATGTTTACCATCTGTCATCATGGGGAATGTAAGATATCTCCCCAACAAGGTGGAAGAACTAACAGCGTTAATCCGGCTGCGAGGGAGTACCGGGAATGCAGCCTCATGTGCTACACAGAGACGTGGCTGAGTGAACTTTCTCCTGAGTCACACGTCACCCTGGACAGATTTCAAGTTGTACAGGCGGACAGGAAAGCAACGTAGAGCAGTAAGAAGAAGCAAGGAGGAATCGCTGTGTTTGTTAATGAAAGATGGTGCCACCCAGGACACATGAGTGCTAAGGAGCAACTCTGCACCAGAGACTTGGAGCTGTTAGCGGTTAGCATGCGACCGTACTACCTTCCGAGAGAGTTTTCACATGTTATTGCAGTAACTGTGTACATCCCTCCCTCGGCCGTCGCTGCTGCAGCTACAGATCAGATCCACACGTCTCGTTGTCTCCCAGCTTCAAAACCAGCACCCCCAATCCCTCATCCTCATCTCCGGTGACTTCAACCATGCTTCCCTGTCCTCTGCTCTCCCCACCTTCACCCAGTACGTGAAATGCCACACCAGGGACTTTGGACTTGTTGTATGCAAACATGAAGGATGCGTACACCTCATCCCCCCTCCCCCCACCTAGTCGCTCAGATCACAACCTTGTCCATCTGGTCACAGACTACATCCCTGTGGTGAATAAAGAGGCCTGTGAAGGAGTGGTCTGAGGAGAACAATGCTAGGCTCAGAGACTGCTTTGAGACAACAGACTGGGATGCACTCTGCAGCCCCCACAGAAATGCTTTCAACACTATCCAGCCGTCACTGCTCAGAGTGAAGATGGAAAGTGTGGGAGTGGACCAACACCTGGCTGCATGGACAATAGACTATCTCACCAACAGACCACAGTATGTGAGGCTCCAACACTGTGTGTCTGACGTTGTGCTCTGCAACACAGGTGCCCCTCAGGGTACGGTGCTCTCTCCCTTCCTCTTCACCCTTTACACTTCGGACTTTACCCACAACTCCACACACATCCAGAAGTTCTCAGAAGACACAGCCATTGTTGGATGCATTTCTGAGGGGAACAAACTGGAATACAGGACTGTCATCAGGGACTTTGTCAGCTGGTGTGAGCTCAACCAGCTTCAGCTAAATACTAGCAAGACATAGTAGATGATCGTTAACTTCAGGAGGAAAACATCCCACTTCATCCCGGTGAACATCCAGGGATTGGACATTGAGGTGGTAGAAAATTACAAATTCCTGGGTGTCCACCTCAATAATGTAGACTTTCAAAATATTGTTGAACTGAATGGATCACATTTTCATAGTCAACTGAATCCATTCGTAGTGGTTGTGTTCCAAAAATCCAGTGTTATACAGTTGTTTGTTTCACAATGTAAGCAAGCAAAACCTATGGCTCTTCTTCTGTATGGAGTCTGCCATGTTTCCAACGGTATCCCAGATCAGACAAACTAAACACTGGCTCCAGATACAGGTCATGTTTGTTTGTTTTTGTGAGTTTTATCTCACCACTAGAGGCCACTAAATCTTACATACTGGTCTTTTAATCCAAAGGAATGTCTGTTATTATAATTAATTTCCTTCTTACTAAGAAGAGAAACCAATTTCTTCAGCTACAATGTGAAACAAACCAACTCAGTTACTATAAAAATTAGCTTGCCTTGCTAGTCTACAGTCTGTAGAACTCTAAAACAGTGGAGGTCTTCATATCCAATATTTTCCATCCAATCGGAATCTGGACAAACCAACCCAAATCTGACGTGAATAAATTGACAGCAGCATGAGTCAGTCACAGTGGGAGAGCAGTAATACATGTCACTTTTCCTGCACCACCTTCCTCCAAAAAATATTTTTGTCTTCCTTAAAATATGCCACTAGATTTTCTTCTTATCACACTGAATAATACAGATACTACTAAACAGTTTTTGAAACACTTGACGTGCTCCTTGTTCCTTGTAACCCACAAACAAGCCAGTATGGTTACAACAGTATGACTAAAAACAATTAAGCTAAAGCTCTGTTCCCTTTTTGCTTCTGTATTTAACTTGACGTGTGTGAAAACATGCAAACAAAGAAAAGCACATAAAGAGGGAAAATACAATAAAGAGCTATTGCCACTGAACAGAAAAGAATAAACCTCACATACCTGTTTTAAAAGGGCAGTATCTACATCCACATTGGCCACAAATGTTGCTGGCGTGTATAGTCGTACAAGAAATACCATACTAAAATAGCATTTATGTATTTTTTTTGGTGAAGTGTGAAGGTTGAAAATGGATTTGAGCATGAAAGTTCTTTTAAACATGTCAAAGTACCATATAGGTCACAAGATATTATTTGGTTAAAAGTTACTATTGACATCTTTTTTACTTTTTTCCTTATAGTGGGGTCGTCAGAACTAAATTTTCAGTCCCATTACTGGTAAGGCTCTAAGAAAAGTTCAATGATAAGAATTTTGTTTCAGCAGTTTGAAACTTTCATACTGGGAGACAAGGTGGTAAAAACACTACAATTTTTGTCCACAGGGGCCATCAGAATCAACAAAAAATTAATTATGCAATTAAACAATTAGTATGAAAATATATTGAAAGCAAGTTGTCAAACCTGATTATTATGACCTGGAATGACGTCAGTACAAACTAATCATAATGGGAAAAAACATTTCCCACTGCACTTATTAAGATAGTCGATGTGTATGATAGTTGTATGTCAGGTCACAGTGGCAATTTTTTTCCTGAACTGCTTTTGCGTTCCCTCACATTACAAAATGCGTTCTGCTGATTCATAAAAAAAATGCTGGACTCAAGTCAATAGTAGCATACAGCCTGGATACATTATGATATAACATTATCAGAGAGTTAGATTATCATTAGAGTTCGGTCTAGACCTGCTCTATTTGAAAAGTGTCCTGAGATAACTTCTGTTATGAATTGGCGCTATACAAATAAAATTGAATTGAATTGAATTGAATTATGTATAATATTTATTCACAATGACTTGTTGTGCCCACGGCGGGGATGCTCACCCTCGGGTGGGGCTGGCTCAACCAAAAGTTTGTATCACTGAAGCTAATTAAAGATAATCAGTGGATGCTTGCTTACAGTAGTTCTCTATACTGTTTCCTGATTGTTGCTGTGATAGGGACAGACTGTAGCTGTGATTATCGCTGTAGCCATCTACAGTTTGAATCTATTTCTGAACTCCTGCAGTGTATATTGGAAACACATCTTTAATATCTGACAGAAGCATGGTAATTTGTTCTATTTTAGGGAAAACTGGGCAGGTTAAGGTTATTCCTTATTCCTTATTCCTTGAATTGAATTGAATTGAATTGAATTGAATTGATTTGAATTGAAAAATAAATTGAATTCAACTGAATTCTGTCATCCATTTCTATTCTCCAGCTCCCTCAGCCCTCTGTCACTCATTCCTGCAGTGATCTTCCCCATCCAAATCCATCCCACCCTCAGTGTTTTCCTTCCATTTCATCTTGTACTTATACTTTTATAGCCTTGAGCAGGTTCATGAAGGTCCTTTTGAATGTGGCATTATACAGTGTGCAACAAGCCTGATTGGTAGTTAAGTTGACATAACATAGCCTGTAGCCAATACTCAGTGTCAGTGACACAAGACTGGCAGAAGGTTGAGATCACTACCATAACCTTATATTGTGTCCATATGTTAGAAACCAGAAGGATGACAAGGACACTCAAATTCACAAGACAATGTCTGGCTTCACAGTGCTTTCTCACGAATGCTTATATATTAGCAGTAGTGCTGTCAAACGATTAAAATATTTAATCGCGATTAATCGCATTAATGTCATAGTTAACTCGCAATTAATCGCAATTAATCGCACCTTTTTATCTATCCTAAATGTCCCTTGTTTTCTTTTTGTCCCATTATTTTTTCTCATTTTAATGCTCTTATCAACATGGAAAAGTGGATCAGCTTGCTTTGTGCAAATGTTGTTTTTATGTAAAAATCATCCATTGTCGCCTGGCTTTGACGAGGGGGCAGAGAATTCGCATCAGCTGTGTGCTTGGCCATCAAGTGGTATTTCAGACTGGATGTGCTGCGATGATAACTTTAGCTCAGTTCACAGCGACAAAACACACAGATCACTTTGGTCTTGTCAGTGGAACCATTTGGCAACTTTTTAAAAGTAAACTTTCCATTCAGAATATTATTGGCATCCATTTCGGCGTCTCGCGCTCGCCATCCACTCAAAACGTAACGTTCTAATACTCTTTAACAAGTGTGTGCGGCGTGCCTGTTGTTTTGTTTCCGGTCTAGCTAGATCCTGTGTGGTGTTGTAGTTTTTCTAACGTTACTAGTTGTTGCAGCAGCATGTGAAAAAAACTTCAAAATGTGCTAGGCCAAAAAGAACGTTAATCTCGCGATAAAAAAATTGACACCGTTAAAATGGGTTTGCGTTAACGCCATTAATAACTCCTTTAACTGACAGCACTAATTAGCAGTATTATTATTTTTTACATTTTTTAATAACCATAGGTGGAACTGATTTGTTCTAACACTTTTCTGTGATCAAATGATTGTATTGTGCATACTTTGTGTTGGTGCTATCTCTGTCAACCTTTGAAGAATCATTTTATTAACACACAATTTAAGAGATATTACCCTGACAATATCTGGAGCCAGTAGCCTTCCACGTGAGTATTTAGAGCAGTGATAAGACAATCATGCCTTTTTGACAGTCACAATGGAGTGTTCTACCTGGTCAGATCTACCTTAACAATTGATAAAAACATTTATCCTTCCCCTAAAATTTGTTAGTGACCACCTGATTATGTCTTACCCCAACCTTGTCTTTCGGTAACAGATAACCATATGCAAGCTTTCATTGCTTTATTTGAGTACCCTTTTGCAACCTCCTATCATCCATCTGACCATCCATCCATCCATTCATTCATCTTTCCAGTAAGACTACCTCTTCAACCTTGCATGTAGCAGTATTGTACCTCTATGTTTTACACTGTGATTAGTACTGTCATTTTAATGTATTACTCCATCAATTCATACCTCAATTCAGTTGTTATTTTTCCTGCATTTCCTTCTCCCTCAACTTTTATTGCTATCTTCCCTGCTCACATCACACATTCCACCTGTTCCACCACTGAAGTTATTTTCCCTATGTTCGGGAAACCATGTTTCCACTCAGTGTGTGATATGTTCTATGTTAGGGGAAGCTGGGCAGGTTAAGGAATCCCTGGTTTAGATTTTGCTCGGAGTCTAAATGTACCAATAGATATGACTGGCATTGATTTGCACAACCATGATTGCTCATCTCCTGCAGATGTCTCTTCTCTTTAGAAAGAACCCTTCAACTAAATTATGTCATCCACTTCTCTTCTCCTGCTCCTGTAGCCCTCTGTCCCTCACCTTTCAACAATATTCCCTCCCTCTATTCCTCTGTCCCCCGGTCTTGCAGTGGTTTTCCCCTTCCCCATCCAACCCACCCTTAGTCTTCTCCTTCCATCTCATCTTGTACCTATATTTTTATACTGGCACAGCAGCAGGTTCTTGAATGTCTTTTTGAATGTGGCGTTGCACAATGCGTAACAAGCTGGGTTGATAGTCGAGTTGACATAACACAGCCAGTAGCCAATAGCCCACACAGTGTCAGGGACACAGGATTGGCAGAAGGTTGAGATCAACACCATGACATTATACGGTGTCCATGTGATGATGAAAGCCAGCAGGATGGCGAAGATAGTCTTGGTCACCTATAGAGAGTGGGAAGAAAAGAGACAAGAAGAGTGCACTGAACAAGAGATAACAGAACAAAGGAAAATCAGCCTTTTCTCTCATGTCACCGTGGTATGAAAATCTATTTGCTGAGAATTAAAACTTGTTTGAGATAGTTAATCCAAAAGAGTTAACGCTGTATCTGCTGTAATGCAAAATACTGTATCTGTAAGTGAAGATTGATTGCCAATAGTTACCCATACTGTCTAAATTAAACTATAAAACTAATTTTACTGCTCTTACATTGACATAGAAGCCCACTCTGCCTCATCAACCCCTTCATAGCACATTTTTTTCTCATATGAACTCCAGAGTGTCATTTATAATGCAATGAAATAAACAATAGAGCAAACTATGAAATATTAGACGTTTTTCTATTGTCATACAATATATATCATTATATCCCTAATTTGAAACCAACCTAACCACTAAGCCACAAAGCCTACGATCATGTAGTTGTAGAGAGAGCAAGTTATAGCTTAAAGGTCCATTGTGAAACATTTAGGATGATCAATTGGCAGAAATATAGATTTTTTCAAATAAGAATCTTTTGAAGTGAAGTTCATTCATGTGTCCAGAAAGACTACCTCCTCAGCCTTGCATGCTGCAGTATTGTACCTCATCAAGCTATATTTTTCTATTCATTATTCTGCCATTTACATTTATGCCTTATCATTTACATAGATGATTTAATCATATTATTTAAATATGGCGAATTCAGTGCTACAAACAGTCTGCGCTTGTATGTGCTGGCACTTGGAAATGCTCTTTAATTGATATTTGGAAAGAGGGCCCTGGTCAGTCAGTATATTTATTGTGATGTAACATAATAATTTCCACTGCATGTTGCTGTCTCGGAAAACTGGACATTTGTAGCATTCAACGTATTAAATTTCTAATTTCTAATTAATTCATGACATTTTAAATTAATGCGGATGTTGTTAATGCATTTCTGATGTTTTATACAATAAACCACCCATATCCCAAACATCCTTCCTCACTGCTGATGTTTTGAATTTCAACTGTAACCGGTGGTGATTTTGAAGAGTGCTAGACAAAATTAGAACAATATGGTAAGATACATACTCTGTCATTTTAAAAGCTCAGAGGAACATTTTCAAATTAAGTGAAGTGACTGCCACACAAAAGCAGCTCCACAACAGCTGCTCTATACCATTCACACACTGGTGGACTAGGTAGTCCCACCTGTACACCAGCAACATGCTGCCATGTAAAAACAATAGTGTTAGCTTTGTTTTTTGTCATGATAAATTATATTTCTGTCTTCTGTGTCTGAATGATCAGGGGGATATTTGCTTTTATTACCTATTCTTTATACTGTGCTTTTTCACACATTTAATGGACACTGAAAAGGGACACAACCTATATTTATATAATTACCATGTTATTTTGACCAAGCAAACCAGTTCAAGGGATAGGTCAGGTTTTTTTAAAATCGTTTTTTAGTTTTTTGAAACTTATTTTAGCCCTTAACTTAACTTTAGCACTTAAACTAATCTCCGTCTAACTGCAGGTAATACACTATGGACAAGTAACTTATACAACCACGCCCGAACTATCTCTTTAATCAAATTCACACCAAAAAAAGCAATGCAAACTATAAACATTTAGAAAATCAGAATAATTTCAAGTTGAAAGACATAATTTTACTCTCCTTACAAACACTCATTTCTGCCTTTGTGTTCATCCACTGCCAATCAAAAACAGCCACTTTATGTAATGTATATCTGTCCATCAGCACACTATGTATCCATTTATGCCTGTGCAGTGTATCATTAACATACTTTCTTTTCTCTCGCAGCCATCTGTCTTTTCCTCTTCACTTGACTTCTAGCAATGCTTGCAAACTTTCTCGCCACAGTCCTTGGACGGCTGATTGGGATTGAATGCCTCTCGGCTCCCTCTACAGGAGGGACAATCTCTATAGCTGTGATGCATTCGTCCCCGGTCTGCTTTGTTACAATCTTTATTTTGGACCACTTCGAAGTGGAGTTCATCTTGGGCTCTGCAGGATTGGCTGTTGCCATGGCAACGGAGTTGGGATTTGTTGCAGCCTGTGAAGACCCAAGAGAGTTTTGTTAGAAACTTTTAAAGCCAGTGTGACCTGTTGAAGGGTGCATGATGGTGCATGAAGTCAGGCAAGTCAGGATTCTTTCTTAAATTCAATGAAAACAATTATTGTGTAACAAACTAGAAAGAGTACTAAAGCTTCTAGTAAAACATTTTCTCAGTTGCTTGGGCACATTGACTGAAACACTATTGCTGCTCTCAAACCATTAAGTCAAGACAGTCCTGAAAAGTATGTCAGTAAGCATAAATTGTCTGTCAAATATTCTCTATAGCTAAAGACCAAACGGATGACCCACAAAACGTGGTGGCATTGTGGAACCTACATGTCTCTGCTGTGATGTTATGTGATTATGTTGTCCACCACGTCTGTCCACCTTCCCCTCTCACCAAACCAAACTAACTCAGTTTCAGTCCCTGTGGCGTAAACGTGTTTGAGAAATTATAGATGAACATGTGATATGTATTGGAATTATTGGGTCTCCATCAATAATTTTGTAAGACCTGCTCTATATGAAAAGTGTCCTGAGATAACTTAATGGTTAATAATAATAATAATAATAATAGCACTATACAAATAAAATTGAATTGAATTGAATTGAAAAAGTCTGTAGGGGAAGTTGGGGTCATTTTAACATTACCTGCCCTCATAATGATTTTTATCGGGTTCTCATTTTTCACCCCCATCAAAGGAATAAATACAACTGCAGTTACCCATAATTTTTCTGTGTACTGGCTGGTCCTCCTGTAATTTATATTATATTTTTTATATTTGGTAACATGAATTTTTCAATACTGAGTAAATTTTTTTTAAACTATTCACACTGTCAACACAACAGAAGTTTACCTGGGCCATAGCAAGGACTTTTATAATAATAATAATAATAATAATAATAATAATAATGCATTTAATTTATAGAGTGCTTTTCAAAAACTCAAAGACACTTCACATGAGTTAAAAAGGAAAAGAAAAATCTAAAAACAACAGAAATTATAGCTATATCTACAACAGTCAACAATAATTAATTGTTAAAATCATTTGTTAGATGTTTGATTGTAAAATCAATCTTTCTTCCTCCTTATTGATCTAGTGATTCAATTATAAATTATTACGTCATTAGTAATCATTACAATTAGGAAATCTTGTCATTACAAAATCTGTAGCTTCACCCAAGGACCCAGAGGAGACTGACTTCTCTCTCATACATGCAAACATATTTATTTTCCATAACCACTATGTATTTGTTTTCAGGATTAGCAGTAGTGTAAGCATTGCAACTATTGCTAGATAACTGTCCAAGCACCAAATCAGGATGAAGATTTTGTGCACTGTCCCCTTTGAAAGGAACTCTGATTGTGTGCCAGTGGTTCTAGTATAATGTAAACTACTGAATTGGTGTATTGTTTGTAATGGTTGTTGTTTGCTTGCTTGTGGATTTATTTTTGAGAATAACGGAGCTTGAAGCCAGGCCAACACTGGAGGAATGAGAGGCCTAGTGCCACAATGTTGATGTAGATTCTGCACACAGTATTTTATTTTGAAAATTGATCCGATTCTCTATGTGGCACCGTGTTCGGTGGAATTGGCCTCTGCCAATTACCTTGTAACTCTAACTCTATTCCCTGTTGTCAAACTAGTCGAAATGTGAATTTACACTGGCTCTACAGCTGTTTTCCTCTCACTTTTTTTCTGCTCAGTGTGTGTACTGTGCTGTTGAATGTCTTCACTGAGTGACTCATTCTTTGGAGGTAGACAATTAAATTAGCAAAATAAAATTACAAAAATTGCCCAAAAATAACAGTCGCTGAGGCCAATATCTTTGTCTAATCACCCAACCCTAATCCCTACCAGCCTGGACCCTCACCACTTTGCATTCAGAGGCAACAGTTTCATAGAGGATGCCATCCCCACTGCCTTCCACTCAGCCTTCACACACCTTGAGAAAAACAACACTAGTGCAGCCCCTCAGAGAGAGAGACTCAATGTCAGGAGGAAATTAACTTGCAGAGTGGTGACAGCAAACCAAGAAGCTGATTTTCAGAAAAAGGAGGCAAAGACACATCTACTGTATGTCTACATCAGTGGAGCTGAGGTAGAGCAGGTGAATAGTTTTAGGTTCCTGAGAATCACCATCACAGAGAACCTCATAGTCATCTCACATTGCCACCCTGGTTAAGAAAGCTCAGAAAAAGCTGTATTTATTAAGGAAACTTAGGAAGACGAAATTCCTGTGCCAGGTTCTTGCAAACTTTTACAGTGGAGCAATAGAACTTGCATAGGATGTGCACAGCCCAGGAAAGGAGGACTCTAGCGGGTGATTAAAACCCCTCAGAAACAGAACGGATCATCAGTGATTTCAGTGAGGTGAGGTGCATGTGCAGAGCCCAAAGGATACCAAAAAACAGTACCCACCCTAGCAACAGCCTCATTGTCCTGCCATCTGCCAAGAGATACAGAAGTATCCGTTGCCATACCACCAGACTTCAGGGCAGCTTCTTCCCTCAGGCGGTGAGACTTCTTAATTCATCCTCATCACCACCATGGGAAATAGTTATTTATTTCTATGATTTTTATGATATCTATTATACTATTATATAACTATTACAGTAGAATATATTGTGTACATAAGTTGTCCAAAGAAACTTGTCAGACCTTATTGTCTAAGTAGTCATATCCATCTATTATATTTTGGATTATATAAATACCCAAAACAATATACTCAAGTGAATATATTGGAAATAAAACACGGAATGGCAAAAAAGGGAAGTTGAACACCAACCTCAGATATCACCTTGTTATTGGTGTTGTCCTTCAGTTCTGTGGGGGGAATAAAAGCTGTGGACGAATCGTTGGAGCTTTCTTTCTCCTAGATAGAAAGATAAGATAAGATAATATTAGATGTCAACTAAGTCTGGTGGGTATACTATATATACACAGTGATGTTAATGGAGTACAAGTCAACAGTACCTGTGTGAGTCCTGGACTGGGCTGTACTGGAGGTTGAGGCTGAACTTGCTTTGGTTCCTCCACTCTGCCATTCTTCACAGCCTCCAGCGCGGTGGTAGTTGAGTCCAGACTGAGTTTGGGAGTAGATCGGGGACTGGCCTGAGGACTGGTCTCATTGTTATTGTTCTGCTTTAACAGGTGACTCTTTATCAAGCTGGGAGTTCTGGAAAAAACATAAGAACAGCTAAATTCTTTTTTTTCACAAAGCATACACCATTTAAACATTTTGAAAAACAGATATGGATAATATGTTGTGGGAGTGTTGGAAACCCTTGTAATTAACCAAATTCAGCACAGTTGTTGTGGACCTATATTTTTGTGTCAAAGTGACTAATGGGGACAACAAGTTTTGAATTTTGGCTAGTATTAAACAAAAGAGCTGCAAACATAAAACAGGCTACAATGTAATCCTTGGGGGCAATTGCACACAGTCAAATTACATCCATTAAAAGTTGTTGTTTTGCAACTGGGGTTATTATTCACATCTGACAACATGAGCATACAGAGAAATGAAACATTTTCTGTTTCTTTTGCAATGTGGATGGCCTGTTTTTATTTGATCCAAGTAAACAGACTATACAGATGAGCTCTTACAAATTTAAGGGCAGACGAGGAGAAAGAGCAAGGCAACCGGCAGATGAGTGTGAACCAGCTGCTGCAAGGCTGCCAAGCTCGGGAAACTGATAATGGTTCTATAGGTGCTGCTACCTGATGCCCAGAGAGGAAATTTCAAAACAAGACTTTAGAGTAAGAATTTACACAGAACCGGATAAAGCGAAGAGAACAGAAAATGTTTCATTTCTCTGTAGTAATCCTTTCCTTAATGTTAATTTTATCAGATCAGTGACAAAAACAAGCACTTTTAATAGACATACTTTGCTGGTGTGTGATTGCCCACAAGGATTACATCATACTTTACTTTACTCTTACTTTACTCCCTTCTTCTCTTTCTTCTCTGGTTTGTGTTTGGAAACCCTGCTCCTGGAGGCCAGGGAGATGTGGATGTACAGGACTGTCATAATAATGACAGGAAGATAGAATGCTGCTATAGCTGTCCCAAATGTCACTGCAGGGTTAGAAAGGAACTGTAGAAAGAAAGAAAGAAAGCAAGAAAGAGAAACCCGTCTGTCATCTACAGAGAATGTTTACATATGCAGTAAAGTTTATGCAGATGGATGGATGTGCTGAGTTACAGTATCCACGTACAACCACCTGTTATCACATGACGGATGTTACACATTTATGTCACGTGATCTGAGCCAGTGTCAAGGGTGGCAGTAGCTCAGTCTATGGGGACTTGGTCCCACAGACCACAATACGGGGTGTGGACTGGTAGCTGGAGAGGTGCCAGTTTTCACCTCCTGTGCACTGCTGAGGTGCCCTTGAGCAAGGCAACCTAACCCCAAGAAACTGCTAACATGGCAGCCCATCACTCCACCATCTCTCTCCCTGTTTGCATGTCCACAAGTGTGTGTGTATGTATAAAATAAAAAACTGTGAAAAAACAATTTCCCCAATAGAGGATTAATAGAGTACATATCTTCTTATCTTATCTTAATTAACTCAATGAAAACTGTGACAAGCTACAGATTTATAAATTAATTCATTTAAAATGCAACTATTTTTAAAACAACCCTTTCTTTACTGAATGCACTTTAAATTTTATTTTGGGAGAAGTGAGAAATGACAGTATATTACAATAACTTGGCAGACAATGAATGTGCTTATATTCTAAAATCCTGTCTAGGATCAGTCAAGTTTTATATACTGTACCTGAATATAACACTCTCCAGGTGGCACTGTTCGCTGTCCAACAATGAACTGCCAGAACAAGATGGCAGGAGCCCACAAAATAAACGACATGATCCATGCTGCAGCAATCATTAAACCTGCCATCTTAGTTGTCCTTCTTGTTGGATACGTTAGGGGTTTAGTCACACAGAAATAACGATCAAAGCTGATGATCAATAAATTCATCACTGAGGCGTTTGAGACAACATAATCTAAAGCTAGCCACAAGTCACAGACCACTGGCCCGAGGGGCCAGTAGCCAACAATGATGTAGACTGTGTACAAATTCATGCTGAAAACACCAATGATCAAATCAGCGCATGCTAATGAAAACAGGAAATAGTTATTGACAGTTTGTAGGTGGCGGTTCACTTTGATAGAAAGCATTACTAAAATATTTCCTGTGACAGTCACAAAGCTCAGAGATCCTGTAACCAAGGCAATAAAAAACATCTCTAAAGCTTTATATGGGCTTCCTGTCCCCACTCCATCGTCCGCAGGAGAGCAGTATGTTGAATCATTAGTGGATGTGTTGCATGAGGTGTTGGAGAACAGCTCAGCTGATTGGTTGACTGATGACCCTGAAGGAAGAAAGAGAGAGATGAGAAGCTAGACAAAGCGAAATATGGCTGTAATCAACTTTAGCTGATGTCCTGTCATGGTTCTTGATTTCGTCTATGGTAGGAGGCAACAGGTTAAAATAATAACTTTACAAGTTTTCTAATCTTTTGAGTTGTTGCAGTGATAATTACATTCATGGAAAAACTAAAGAGGTGATAGACTTTGGTAAACCGAAGGGTTGAAAAGTATTGCTTGAAATTGCAAGGAAACCAGTTGGAATGTAAAAACTTTAAATTTCTTGGCACTGATGCTAATCTGAAGAGGTAGAACAAAGTTAGAAGCTATAGTCCAGTTTTAGACACCGATTGTCGAGAATTGACTAACTTTACAGTTATGTTTGGTAGCCTGACTACTGCTGAAAAGAATGTGAAGCCAGCGATCTAAGTGAGTCAACTCCAGTTTGTCGCTACATTCAAATGACATACTCGTTTCACTGCAACATATTCATCTCCCCCCTGCATCCACCTGTAGAATCTGAGTCTATGTTCCCCTGGGGGGCGTGCATGTCGGTGTTAGGAGACAATGGAAACAAGCTTGTACTGTAGCCATGGGCTGACAACGTATTGTTAAGATAAGATAAGATAAGATAAGATATTCCTTTATTTGTCCCACAATGGGGAAATTCCAATGTTACAGCAGCAAAGTGGATGGAGAAAAAAACAGTATAAAAACAGTAAGAGTAGGAAATAATAAATAAAAACACTGTACAAGAGAAAAAACAGTAAGAAATCCACAACAACAGATAACACAAATAAAACAAATAGTAGCAGCAGCAGCAGTTGCACATGGGCAATAGATTGCACAGTGAATATGGAATGGTATTGCACAGTAATTATTATTATTATTATTATTATTATTACATAGTAATTATTGCCCATTGTTATTATATATAAATATTATATATAAACATTAACTATTATTATTGATACCGAGATGGGTTTAAGATCTGACAGCAGCAGGAAGGAAGGACCTACGACATCTCTCCTTCACACATTTGGGGTGAAGGAGTCTGTCGATGAAGGAGCTGCTCAGTGTACTCCTGCATGGGGTGGGAGACATTGTCCATCAGTGATGATAGCTTTGCTATTATCCTCCTCTCTCCCACCACCTGCAATGAGAGTTGAGGGGGCAACCCAGGACAGAGCTGGCCTTCTTAATTAGCCTTCTTAATTAGTTTAGTCTTATAGTGATATTGAAGAGTAAGGACTACAGCAGCATCTAAAGGGACTGAAGTGATATTTTTGCAGGTAAGAGTTTATGCTGTTTAATGTGCTGCAGCTGAGCAGCTAATTAGCTCATCACGCATGCAAACTGATGTTAACAGACCAAAGCCACCACAGGCTAAAATATGGCCAACCCACTGGCCACCAGACACAGCACCATATTTAGGGATGCTTATTTTTATCTTGTAGAGCCATTTTTCCTCTGCTGCAGATCCACTGTCTGAGGGGAGATCGAACATAATTTGTTGCTAAGATTTGCCACTGTGGAATAAAACCAAAGTCAATCATGGCAGTATAATACCAGAAATACATTTCTTGGTTTCTAACTAACCAACAGAATGATGAATGGACATAACTTAGAGAAGACAATTGGAGCATTCTAGCCATAAAAAAGCTATTGACTTTTCTAGTGGCCAGGTTACCTGTGCTGAGCAAGATCTGATCTAAAAAATAAACATGTTTACAGCCTGGTACTCTATAGCTATCTCTGGTAACAACTGTACAGAGTCTATATTTTTATATAACTCACCTGTTTAAATTAAAGTCCAGGAGAACTGAAAAATTTAATTTTAACCCTTTAAGATTGCATCCTCAGTTATATTGTATTCCATTTAACAATGTATGTCAAAAAATTAGAAAAACTCAATTTCTTTGTATTTGTATATAAAAATCCAATAATTACTTCTTACTGTAAAACAACCAAAGCCGACCACACTGAACTTCACAACACTGACTATTTTGTTTAGGCTAAGCAGTTCGTCACAGTTCAATGAGTAAACCAATCACCGTTCATACAGCCATGAATAAACAAATTTGTGTGTGTGTTCATTACTGGCAGTGCTTAAAAGCATCATTCGTATTGAAATTGAATGTATATCTTCTAACCAGTCTGTTCTGTTGATTAAATTTTCGTCAATGTAAACCCATATGTGTGAAACGAAATAGTATAAAAAACAAGAAAGTCTGCACCTGGAGAGGTGGTGGGGTGGATGGATGGCTCAAACAAACACGTAACATTAATCCAGGAGAACAGGATATATGTCCCATATGAAACCAAATTAAATGTTACGTTGTTTAAGGTTACGTGGATCACCCTTTGTGACTTGCGTCACGTAATTTATATAACGTTAACATAGTTATTTTAAACCAAACCATAATCTTTTCCTAACCTAACCAATTATTTTTGGCTAAACAAATTAAGGCTCGTGTGCGTCTGTATGATATGCTGAGACAGAGTTTCGGTATTTGACGACCTGGGATTAGATTGTGTTGGCTACAGCCATATAATTCTGAAATTTTAATCTTAAGAACTCAGAGCAAGCAGCAGTGGTGGTGTGAGGGAAACCATTACAATATCTACCACTGTGTAGATTCACTTCACTTTACTTGTTTTGTTTGCCATCAAATATTAGGCAGGATAGTAGTTAATGTCTAATATTGGCCAGTGTTTCCTCTAGTATTTTTTTAGTAGTGGGGGCAGGCCCCGTCCGAACACGGTCACGCGGCAAACGTTTTTTCGTATGAAACAGAAGTGACACTTCGCTGCGACGAAAACAAGTATATTTAACGTTTTAATGTTTCCAGATGTTTGATATCAGGACGTTGAGCTGAGAACTGACAAGTTGAACGTTGTCCAATTAAAATGGACCCACCGCGGTGACGTTCTTGGTGGAGCTGTTAGTTTAATAGTCGACTTGGAAGAAAGCAAACGTTTTGACAATAAGCTACATCAACACAACAGTATGTGGAGTTAAACTGGACAGTCCCAATAACCTCTGAATAGTTCTACTTGCTGTTAAATTGCAATGTGAGCGGCAGCCAACGGGGGTGCATTATGTCGGCAGGATCATTTAAAAGGCAACTGTGACTACATTGTGCGTCTGCCCCATTTCTGATACCGTGGCGGCAGAAATTTAACAGCGGCGGGCCGCCGCTCCAAAATCAACGCTGTTGGCCAAATAAATGATACAACACAAACTGTGTCAACTGTGCTCCTTCATGTGCCTTATCCCTTTTGATGTGGACATAAGGGATGAGAGTCATAAGGATTAGGCAAAAAAAGGCTTTTCAGTAGGGCATTGCCCTACTTTTTTCTGAATTTCTTATAGCTTTAAACACAAAAAATATTTCTTCACTTTTCAAAGCACAATTCCCTTTAAACCTAAAGACCATACCATAGAACCAAATACTACCAGTAGAGTCTTGAACCATTTCTGCTGAGAACCTTCTGTTCCATGAGGACCAAAGTTCATTCATAAAAAATCCCTAGGAGCATCTATGTGTGACAAAATAATCTCAACTGAATTTGCCCACTTACTATCTTTTCTGAACTTTCAACTTCACCTCATGGCCTTCATAAGCAAATGTAACTGGAGTGGTGTATGACATTGCATGTGACATGACAAGGACCATGGACAAGAAACTGAATGAACAGCAGAAACAGACATCATCAACTGTCTGTACACACCACAACAAAATCACATACAGCATCTACTGGGAAGAGGTCAAAAGTCATGGACCAGGACTAAGCTGACAACTGGAGAAACATCAAGGAGGACATTCACACTTCCTTTTCTTATATAACCAACATTGAACACTCTCACATGATAACAGGAGCTTGCTTCATTAACTTATACAGACTATTAAATGTGGTTGAACATTACAAAAAAGGCTAGGAAGTAAACCTATATATTTATTTATTATTTGAGATTATTTTGAGACGGTGTTTCATGTTATTACAAATCATTTGTATTGGGTTGAGATCTTCCGAGCCAGTGATGTGATCTGAAGTTTATCATATTGACATGGGACGATGCTTAAATTAGTTATCCTGGTTATCTGACTAAACTAAAAGCTGTGAATGGCTGCGCTCATATGGACTTATATGTAACCCATTTACTGCTCAGTTTTTATTTTCTCATCCTGCATCATCAGCAGAGAGAGATCAGAGAGAGACAGAGGAGAGACAGAAGTAAGAGATGCTGTACCACCAGACTTAAGGAAGCTTCTTCTCACAGGCTTTAAGACAGCTGAGTCTTCCTCAGCACTTCATCATGTAAAATAGTTATTTTGTAATTATGACTTGTTATCAAATTTACTGTATAGAATTTTTGTATATATACTGTATATATACGATATATATATATATATATATATATCTTTTGTTTCTACAAGTAGCATATAAAATGAACTACAAATTGAATTTAATTATACAAGCCTCCATTGTAAAATGACTTGTAAACAACACTTCCCATGCACTGCCAACAACAGTCAGGTGTCACTGCACACTAGAATGACTTGGTTACTTCTAATTTTATACTTGTATGTTTATTTATCTTCTCTGGTTTCATGAAATTCATCAGGAGCATCACCAGTAAATACTAGAACTAACAGTACTGGACCATATTGGTCGCCTGTGTGCTGACACACATACAAGTTACCATGGTTACCAGAGGACCTTGCATAGATATAAACATGCTTTATAAAGATGACTTAGAACATCACTGTCTTGACAGTTTACAGCAGATACAGTTGAAATAGCTTAGCTTTTCATTCATATGAAAACCATGTGTACAGTGATCACACACTCCTGGTGTGCTGGTTTGCTTTCACACCACAAACAAACCGCACCACAATCCAACTGGAGGACACCTTGTCATTCAGACATTGTTGTTTGCTTCACACAAGTTCTCATAATCTAATCACAAAAAAAATGTTGCTTCATACACTGAAGGAAT